AAAGGGTTAGTTCACAAAATAAAAAATAAAAAAATAATAAAATCTGTTATTTACTCACTCTCATGTCGTTCCAATCCTGTTTGCGTTTTCCCCTCTTTTTTCTGCAAACACAAAAGAAGATATTTTGAAGAATGTTGGTAACCAAATATTTTTGTTTCCCATTGACTTCCATTGTATTTTTGTCAATAAGACCCAAAACTTTTTGTGTTTGGTTACCAACATTCTTCAAAATATCTTATTTTATGTTCCACCGAAGAAAAAAGTCATACAGGTTTGGAACGATATGAAGGTAGGTAAATGTTGACAAAATTGTAATTTCCTGAATGTACTATCCCTTTACTTTACCATATATTAGTTAATTTGAACTCTAACAGAAAAGAAACTCTATGAAGTTCCTAATTTATGTGTAAGAAACAAAGGAAACATGACTAAAAGCATGGCATGCCACCAAATCACACATTGAAGCATGTCAATGTGTGACGTCTGAATGTGCTGTGATTAATAGAAGAACTGCCACTGATGATTTAACTTTCTTACCAAGCCAAGGAACAAGTGCACCCTGAGGTATTGTAGCTAAGAATCCATTATTCAAGGAGGAGGCTGCAGCTCCAAGCTGCAGAAGCACAGTTGACACCAGGAGGCTCAGAGGCCATGCTCAGTTACAATTATAGCTCCTAGTACAGCTAGACTGGAAGCACACTTAAAATCACAGACCTGTGAAGGTGAGGAGACTGGGAAGCTACAAACAAGGGTACAAGCCCACAACCTTTGCTCAAATATTATTTCACCATATTATTTTGGCTTGCTCTCATATCCAGGAACATAAATGTTAGCTGAAGAAAATTTGGACTGATGCGTCTATACTACATTCTTCTGAGTAGCATCCAAACTTAGAAAGTGATAATGTCTGCCTTTGAGGAACACTTAAATGATGCTCCATTATTGCTATATACTTCAGTTCTCTTGCAGCCTCAAGGAGACACTTTCAGAAAACAGGGTCATCTCCTCGGGGAGCAAAAACACACATAAGAACTGTTTCTCCTCAACAGCAATGAGAATATTTATAAATATTAAATAAATATTTTAGCAAATTTTTTCTTCTCAGGTTTTTCTCAAGAAGGAAACAACCCCAGTAATCTCCAACTTCCTCTAGGGTTTTAGAAGAGCTCTCATTGTCTCAAACTGTGCTCAGATTTGCCAAGAAACCAAAGTCTGCAATCAAATGTCAGAGTTTCAATATGAACTCACATTTCTCATCAAATTCTTACAAATCATCTGATATTTTTTATCCACAACAGTTCTATAGGCATATATTCTTACTGTATGTCAACAAGCGACTCGTTTGTGTCTTTTTTATTCCTCCTATGGAATTAAAGAAACATCTAATGACACAAAACTGTGACTTCCACTGTGTCTGTCAAGCTATGAAAGAGCAACCTCTAAGCAATAAGATTTTCCTCTGGGCCAGTCGTCCCATAGAATGCACTATATTTCTACATTTATGCCAAATACATGATACGACTTGTGTGTTTTACTGCAAGAGAGTCAAAACGTTGATCTGAATGTTCAAAATCACCTCTGAAGAGTCTAAAAATAATGTGCCAATTAAGTTATGGTATGATAAATATCCAAATAAGTTATGTTATGATAAATAGTGCATGTTAAACACATATGTCACAGTACGCCAAATTTTATGTCAAAACACAATTTTTTTGATATGTGCCATGGACCATGATAGCATTGAACATTATCTTTAAGACATTATCCAGCTCTTGTGGCTGCTCTACGAACAATGCTGAAGATAAAAATCCAATTGATGTGATCTCCTTATGAAAGAATCAGACAGGAAACCTGTCCACTCTCATAATGACAGCACATTTGAATCCGAATGGATGTGCATCACTCGCATGTCTACTATAGAAGAAATTATCGGCAGTGATTGGAGAGCGATAAGAACAAGGAGAAACATCTACTGAGCTCCGGTAAATGGATCCCAAGTCCATCCAGCATGACAACTGATCAGTCTCCTCCTATTTCTCAAAATACTAATGTAATGTGGCAAGCTATTTTAAAATGTATTACTTAAAACTAGTATGATTTTTTTATTTTATTAGCACAGCTTTTTCTTATTACTTTTAAGCAATCCATTATTGACTAGTATCCTTTTTTCAGTTTTTAGTGGTAACTATAATAATACAGTAATAATACTTTCTGTATTACAGTAACAAGCATGATTGACTGATTGATTGAGTGATTGAATAAATGATGTACTGTCATTTCATTTCGGAACATACATTTCGGAACATAAAGATTATTGATGTCTCAGTTTTTTTGCGGAAGGTCTTCGCACCCTTTCTAGCAATGGCCATTTTTCAACTCCAGATGAACTGGTTTTTCATTACAACCCTGGAATCAAATTGATGCTGGATGTTCATGTGCCATTGAAAACAAGGGCCGTTTCCTTTGTTAATTCTGCTCCGTGGTTCACTCCAGAGCTACGGCAGTTAAAAGTCAAGGGCCGTCGTCTCGAGCGTTTGTATGTCAGGACTGGACCTGTGATACATAAAGAACTGTACTCTGAGCATATGCAGATATAAGGTAGCTATTTCTACAGCTTAAACAGATTAGTATGCCAGTTCAATTAGTTCTGTTGAAGATAACTCAATAACTTCTTTTTTTTTGTGGTAAAAAAAAAATATGTAAAAGCCACCGCATTCTTTTCTTTATCATTTGTATTCTGTTGATCTCTGTGAAGCTTTTATTCCAGTTTTTTAATAGGAAATTTTAAAATATTCAACAGCAAATTGCTGCATCAAATATAGGTTATTGTGCTTTTATTTTATATATTTGTTCTGACCAACCTCTAATTTCTACTCTTTCCACTTCCAAAGCACAGAAGAAGTAGTCTTTTACAGAAGATCATCTTCTGTACTCACTCTTGTTCTCGCTTGAATTTGCACAACTTCTATGGGGTCTCGAGCCTTAAGTCATGTAGCTCCTTATTTATGGAACTCGTTACCACAGTATGTGTGAAATAGTGAAACTCTTATTGTTTTTAAATCTTGCCTTAAGACCCATCTTTTTAGGCAGGTTTTTATGTGATTGCTTGTATGCTTGTTTTAGGTTTGTTTAGGCTGTAATAATTATTGTTGTTTAACCCTTTCGCACGTGAGTTTAAAATATTCTAGCTGAGCCCCCAGCGTGAGTTTTTTTAGGCGACCGTTATTTTAAAATGTATCGCCTTATTGTTTCCATGGCGACGCGTCATGCTTGTCATGTGACACAATGCAGCCACAATAGATCTATATGACACGTGGATCGCTTTTATTTCGTTTTTCCTGTTTTATTCAAAATATTCAAAAACATGCTCACTATATTATGAAATATCTGATATTCCGATTCTGAAATATGTGCAATTAAATCTATTTGGTAGTTTAAACACTTTTATATCGACCGTGTTAGTTGATCTATACCGGGTGATGGGCGCCGCCATGTTAGTTCGCGCTGAATCCGAACTGTGGGATTTACAACATGCAAATTCATCCTCTCCTACCGAGGACCAGCCAAGACTGATCACACCGGTGTGATAGTACGCATCAAAGGGTTAACCTTTTCAGTGGTGAGTTTAAAATATTCTAGCGGTCCCCCCAGAGTGAGTTTTTTTAGGGCGACCGTTATTTTAGAATGTTTCCCCTTACTGTTTCCATGGCGATGCGTCAGGCTGACGCACCACAATAACACTGTATGACAGATGGATCGCTTTTATTTCGTTTTTCCTTTTTTATTTAAAATATTCACAAACTTGCATACCATGTCATGAACAATCTGATATTCCGATTCACAAATATGTGTAAATTAGTGTGTTTTGTCATTTAAAAACCTTTCTAAATAATCTTGATCGTGATCTGTATTGTAAGATGGGCGCCACCATGTTTGTTCGCGCTACAGTTCAGAGTCCTGTCAGTTGGATTTACAGCACGTGAATTCATCAATTTCTCCCGAAATACAAGTAATAAGTGGCCGGTGAACTGGGAGAAGAATAGAGTGAACTTTATAGTTACTTACACTATGTGTATCTGATATGAATAAAACACATCGGCAAATTATAGTACTTATGTGTATTTAAATGTCTGAAACCTAAAATATGCATTATGTGGTTAAGAACACTGCATAGTTGTGATAATATGACAAGAGCAGTGGACGTCTCTCTCTGGCTCAGCGCCAGCTAAAGAGCGAAAGCACAGTTTGATTTTGGCAGTTATGCGACATCACCGAACGTTCTAAATCCCATATGTGGGACCGTACTCCCAGGGGCACGGAAATAAAAATACCATATGTGGGAACGTACTGCTCAAAGGGTTAGGGTTGATAGATTCAATGCAAGGTGTCCTTGAGTGTCATGAAAGGCGCCTATAAATAAAATGAAATAATAATAATAATAACAATAATAATAATAATAATAATAATATGTAGACTAATAAATAAGCATAATGACTAGTATTACTTTAGCCACTGTTAACAGGCTATATGTACTAGTAATAGTTTGTGAACATGAAATAGGTAGATACTAGTCACTAGTCACAATAAAACAGATTGTCCGTTTTTACGGTTTAAATGTTAAAATAGCTTGCCATAGATGTAAAAATCGCGGGTGTACGTTTAGGAAAGCCGTAGCAGCCTGCCAGTGGCATAGCGTGTAAAATGTCTCCCTTACTACCTTCACTTGATCAATAGAAACAGCATGAGCTATAATAATGGCATTTCAAATATCCGCAACTGACTTGTGCTTAAATATAGTTGCTGCAAAGTAATCATGCGTTCTGAGGTTAATTTCAGGACATGTTGAGACGCACAACAAACATTTTGTTGTAAACGAGTCTTTTAGGGTAATTCTGTAACGTACCGAATTATAACCGTTTTTATTTTGTCTCCCTGTCCTGCTGGAATAGAAAGTTAAACAACACAATTGACAAAAACAGATTCTGCGCTCTGCCACTCACCTTTGACGAGATGCGGGACAGCGAGATGTACGCAGAGGGCGATGGAGACGAGCCACGGTCCCATCATCACCGAACAGCAGCTACGAGTTCCAAGGTTACAAACGTTCAACGGTACAGATGGCTAAAACTTCTGTCTTCCACTGAGTTACACGCAAAGGTCTTCGACTAAGTATCTCCCAGGACAGGTGTCAGTTAAGTCCGTGTTTTTCTCCCAGGAAGGGTCAGCGAAGATGAAATGAGTGATCCTCTCAGGAGTTCCTCTTGCCCTTCTGCTGCAGTGGAGCACGGCGAGATAACGGAGACTCCGCGCGGGTTCCGATCAAGCGGTGATTGCGCGCGGCAGACGGTCAGTGTAGAGCTCGAGCAGCGGCGCTGTCTTACTGATAAAGACGAGCCTCGCTCCTCCCCAGCAGCCCTGGAGCCTCCAATACACAGAACGAACGGCGAAACCCAAATGGGTGGGAGTGTATTTCACTTCGCCCCAGGAAAGACGCTCTTTTTGCTCTGATGTAGAACAGGTACAGCGGCTTAACTGTTCTGACCTCCTTTCCGATCACAAATGTATCACACACTCTCTCTTCACTCTCTGTAGGTGAGATAGTGGGATGCCCCTGTAGGGGAGACCGGGATGGCTGTAACAATCTGTGCTTAACGTGGGCTATTTATTTAAAACTTTGATGTGATCTTCCCATGGCATGTTCATCTGCTACGAATTAAGTACGAGTACGTGTGTTAACCCACGTTCACTACCAGAGTGAGTTATCACCACTGCAACCCAAACCCACAATCACTTAATTTTAAACATATCAAAGTAAAACTGGTAAACAAATAGGCCTAGTATGTCTTTAAAACAGAAAATATAATTGGAAATGTATATAGAGGCTAACAACTCAAAACATGAAAGCAGAGCTCAAGAATAATTATGTTTTTGTCCAGTTTTAAATAGGGTTTTTTGTTTGTTTGTTTTTGTAAAAAACACCAAAAAACAAAGGTCATCATTTGCTCACCCTCATGCCGTCCCAAACCAGTATGAAAGTATGACTTGAAACATAACAGATGTGGTTTGAGAATTTATTTATTTATTTATTTTATTTATGTTTGTTTGTTTTGTGGTCAATGGTCAATAAAAATGTCAATGGTAACTAAAACTGTTTGGTTCCCAATATATGATTCCCTGCATGTGTGTGTGTGTGTATTCCACAGAACAGAATAATGTAAGTCATACAGGTTTGTAAAGACATGAGGGTAATAGTAAATGACAACAGATTTTATTTTTATTTTTTAGTTTTTTGGATAAACTACCCCTTTAATGAAAAATATTGTACATATACAGTAAAAATACATTGCTACATTTTTTTTTTTTTTTTTTAATGTTAGCGGTGGGGGAAAAAACTGCTGGCCCAATTGTGTGTGTGTTTGTCAGGGTTTGTGTGAGTTTGTTAGTCACTGTCATAAAGTCAATACAAAATCCAAATTTGTGCAGTCTTTGTGGGTCCAGTAAAAATACACTGGAAAGTGTTACAACCCTCGTGTCCTCTCAACCAACAGAAAAACAGAAAAGATTATATTGCTACAACACACTCCCCTATACAAATCCTTATGCTATTCTGGTAGTAATCTCTATTTTAAGGGATAAGTACTTATTGCACTTAGTAATTCCATTCATTTAACGGACATGCAAATTTGTGCAGTATCTCTTTGAATACCTGAGTCGTTGACAGACTGTGGAGTACTTTAATCCCACATTAAAATATAAAACAATTTAAAGCAAACCCAAGCTGTCAATTCACCACACCACATTATACCCTTCATTAGTCTAAAAGGAGCTAAATCTCGATGCTGACTGGTTCAGTTGTGGATGGAGTTTGGTGTGACTACTTATCCAACATGGCCTGCACAATTAACTGCCAGTCCCTGGTGATTTGATATGACATTTAATTAATTACACACAATAAAGTGGAGCATCTTCATACACATCACATCACATCAGACACAGCTGGTTAACAGCATCCACAAATTGCTAAACCCTTTTCTAATCCTCCAAGGGGTACTTTAGAGGCTTATTGCTCTTCCTGAATGTAATGTATGAAGAATAATAGCTCATACCTTCAGGGACACCTCTATGCATACTTTGTATCACCTATGAATAAGACATGTAAATGCTAAATACATTTATAATGCTCTACTGCTATAACCCTACACAAAACAGAATAACTGTGCCATACGGTCAAGCAAGAATGCAGAGATATGGATTATTGACTTGCAGCAAGGTGTACTAATTACCTTACATCAGGATTCAGATTTGCACTTGTCCCTCTTTGAAAAAAACAATAACGCTAAAATACTCAGTAATACCTGTAAAAGTTCAAATAGTGTTTCAATAGCATAGAAACAAGATGTAAAATAGGTAAAAAAATAAAATAAATTACATGTAAAGTGATATACATTTTACTTATTCATTGCCATGACAATGTAACTTCTAAAACCCTAAAAGTACTGTAAAATAATAATAATTTATGCAATTCATGTAGTATCTAATTTTATATGTATTTTAATCACCCTTTTAACAAAATAATTAAATGTAAGTGCTTTTTTTTTAAATGATAAACTACCTTTTCAAAAACTGGCTCCCCATTTATTTCCATTGCATGTGCTTCACCTCATTTTTGCTCCTTTTGAAATAAAAAAATAAATAAATAAATACACACATACAAATGTTGTTGGAGCTTTATTTGTATTAAACATGGAATATTCCTTTAAAGCAACACTTCCTTTGTTTCTATGAATAATAGCACATTGCTGGATTCTTCTGTGTCTATTGCCTACACAGCACACTGTCAAATATGAAAAAAATGACATACAGTAGGATTATGACTGATATTTTTATATTTAATGTATATACCACCTTAGACCTGTGGAACGGTCATTGTTGTCCATTTAAAATATATCTGAATGCATTAAAGAACCCTCTTAAGCATTACTTGAGAGATTTGTTTTAATCCTCGGAGTCCTCTTCTAGAACTAAGGGATTTGAATAGTCTTTTCAATGTTTTTTTTTTTCTTGCCTTCAATCCATCCTTCAGCTGCCTGTTTTTTGTTTTGTTTTTGTTTTTTTTGGCAGTAGTCGCTCTTTTTCCATGTTCATTACTCTATTCGCTCTTTCAAACCCTACAGCACTAAGAGAGGAGAGGCAGGGAAGACAGAATTAGAGACACTGCATTAATTCACCAGAGAATATTACTTTTGTCTTCCTGAGCAGCAGTAGGACACAGCAGTGCAATACACTCCCAAAAGCCCCCGAGCTCCTGCTTCGAAGGGGAAACGCTCAAAACTGTCTGCGAATCATGATCTTTAAAATATAAATTTGCATCAGTGTTTCCACAGGCTTGGGAAAGCGGATCCGGCAAAGACTCCAGTATGTTGGAGTGAGGGTGTTTTTTTTTTTTTTCTGTAAATGTGCGAGACCATAATAACTGTGCTCTGCCACTTGTGCTGTGTTCTCCATCTGTTCCTCTGATGCATCAAGCCAAAGAACCCTGTAGAAGTTTTGTGAGGCACTTGGCCTAAATTAAGAGGAATCTGCACTTTCAATTTTAACTGTGCTTGAAAGTCATATTTGTTTGATTTTGCTGACTGCTGGTCCCGTGATGCATTTATACCAGTTTGCTGGCTGTCAGACACTGAACCATTGAATGAAAATGTTGTTCTACTTTGTGTCCCCAATAGACGGAGCAGAGGTTATATTATCCCCCATTTAAACAAGCCAAGAAACATAGACGACTGGAATCCATGTGGTTTTCCTGCTTACTGTAGAGCTACTGGAAACTGGGATTTTACTTTGTCCTCATTCTTCAAGCACATAGTGGCAAATGATGCCCTGCAGATCTGCAAATGCAATTAAAAAAATACTATATATATATA